ATGTATTTATTCCAATTGCTGTTATTTCATTATAATTTTTTATGCATAAATGTTTTATGAATTAATCTCCTTCAATGTTGAATTATGTTGCCCTACAGTTTCACAAAATTTAGCATCTATTATGCCAGATATTTTTCAGTATTTACACACTTCGAATTTACTAAATCCAGATTGGTCAGGATTTACTAAATCCTACTTGTAGCTAAAAAACTCCTAAATTTTGAAGTTGAGTTGAATCAATATCTCTATTAAAAAGTAAGCTTACAACTTAAGAACCTTAATTAGATCTTAATTAAGGATCTTTAACTCCCAATAAAAATTCAGTCTATTTGCCACTTTGAAACCTGATAGGAAACACTTGAAGATATCAAGTAAATTCTATCAATTTCAGAAAAACAGCGAGAAAACTCTTCCAACTTCAATGAAAAAAAAAAAACAATAGTTTTTATTGCAATAATCAAAGATACGACAAGAAAATATCAAGATACAGTCGATTCTCAGTTTGAGAGGAGGATCTATCTCTCCCAAATCTCTAGACGCTGCTAGAGCAAAAAAAAAAAAAAAAACTAAGAGATCTCAAATTTCAATCAAATTCAAGATGCCCTAATCTTAGTAAAACATATTACTTAATATTATGAGAATTTTTATAATAATGGATAGAGAATGCACCATTGTATTGGATAATTGCAAAAGTAAAATGATAAACTTGTTGCATGGATGGTTCTTGCTCAAAATGATTTGTGAAAAGTAGGTTTAACATTACGTAGCCAAGCAACATTTAAATAGAAAAAATAAAAAAATGGGAATAATTGTGATAATTCTAATGATGGAGAAACAACAGCAAAACAAAAGACGTCATAAAAATATAATTTTAGGTTGCTTCTTTTGTCTTTTAAAAATTTATATAAATCTTTATCATCCAAGCATACTTAAAAACATATATTCATATTATGAGCTAAAGGAAGAAAATTAGAAAACTCTGCCACCTACTTAAGGGTGGAGCATGGCATAAGTGGTAATGTTCATGTTTTCATCAAGCACATGTTGCTGTGTCTGCTCTTTCGATGGTATTTTGAGGTTTTTACTGCTTTTTATCATTCAATTTTTTCCCATGCATTTTGTTTTCTATTTGAAAAATCGGAATTGTGCAATCAATTTTCTGGTAATTAGTATATAACATTTTTATCTAATCGGAGTTGTACAGTTTACTGGAATGTATGCCCCTTTTGCCCTTTTCAGTCCCTCCTTTATTCACATGACATTGAGTTTCTTCATATTTGTTTTAATATTCAAAAATATTAGAAGAGCATGTAAAAACTTTTAAAACTACTACTTTAAGGTTTCGTTTGGGACGACTTTTTTATTGCTTCTTAAAGTAACTTTCTAGTACAAAAAATTTAATTTTTATACTAGAAAGCTACTTTAAAGAAACAATAAAAAAGCCGTCCCAAATGAAGCCTAAAAGTGTGTTTGCTTTGTAATATATTATTAGTGTTCAAATTTAGAAAATATTAAAATTGAGAATTATGAGTTTAGAAATATTTTACCAAAACAGGAGGGTCATCTGACTAAACCATAACTACATTGTGGGACTCGGTTTAAAGCAGCAGCAGGATCCTTAGACTAAACATTAAGTTCATTGTGTGACTTAGGTTTCATTTGGGATAATAGCTTTTCAACTCTTTTGTGTTGGAAAAAATTGTCAATAAAAATAATGTTTGTTTGAATAACAATTTTTATAAAATTTTATCTTTAAAATGTTGTTTTTTGAAAATCATATTTAAAATTATGATTGAAAAAAGAGCTTTTAAAAGTATAAGCTATCCCAAACAAAGTCTTAGCTCAGCTTATGACATATCAAATCCTTAAACATCAGAGTAAACATGAAGGGGTTTCATATTGTCTAGGCGGGCTATTGAATAACAATGCTTTGCGTTGCTAGCTATCAATTAAATTTTTGCTACCTTACATGATAATACAAAGCCAATTTGTTATTAAAAATTTTGAATCTATTATTTAAAAATAAAATTGTACATTGGAACTTTTAATAATGCATGAGATCTAATAGTAGTTTTCATTTCGAGTAAAATGATCATTAGAGAGAGATGTTCTAAAAAAAATTGAAAACCTCTGCATTTCCCTCAGGCTCTATTTGGACTAATGGAGAGTGAAGGAAATGAAATGAAATCCCGACAAATATGGACTAATTATGAATCTGCAATCACTGATTTATTTTTCAACTTTGTTTACTTTGCTTTCAGTCAAGTTCTTAGCATCCAAGCACAATAAAAAATTCAAGGATAACAATAATTTTAGTTTGACTTAGCATCCAAACACAATAAAAAAGTTAAGGATTGCAGTGGTGTTAGGGGAAAACGGACATGAAGTAATTATAGAGAAGAGAGAGCATTTTATAAAGTACACCCTCTTTGTTTAGATAGATTGATCTTTAGAAATAGAAGGAAGAAATATATTAAGGGTGTCAAAATGGGTTAACAAGTCGAGTTTGGGTCTGACCTAAATTTAAATCCTTTTTAATAAACAGTTCAAAATTATATAACTGAACCAAATGGCAACCCAAATGATCCATACTTGACCCAATAACCTAGTTTGATTAAAAAAATTATAAATTGTTAACTATATTTAGATAATTTGATAAAAAAAATAAGGAGATTATACCATCAAGCAAAAGAATACAACAACAACAACATCAAGCCTTTGTCCCACTATGTGGGGTCGGCTACATGAATCCTTTTTTTCCATTGTGTCCTGTTAAAAGTCAAATTCTCGTTTAAATCTAATAAAGAAAGATCATTTCTAATATTTTTTAACCAAGTATTTTTTAGGTCTACCTCTAACTTTCTTAACATAAGTCAAATCTAATATATCTACTTTCCTAACCGGGTCATCGAAAGGCCGCCGTTTTATGTGACCAAACCATCTAAGGCGACTCTCTATAATCTTATCTTCCACTGGCGCTACTCCAACCTTTTCATATAAATGCTCATTTCGTATAGTATCTCTAAGGGTAAAGTCACTCATCCACCTGAGCATCATCATCTCTGCAACACTTAACTTAGTATTATGCTTCTTTTTTAATGACCAACATTTGGCACCATAAAGCATTACAGGTCTCACCACCATCTTATAGAATTTTTCGTAAAGTTTGAGGACTTTTATATCACACAACAAGCCCGATGCATTCCTCCACTTCAACCATCTAACTTAAATTCTGCTGATAATATCCCCACATATTTCACCATCACTCTGAATAATAGATCCAAGATATCTAAAACATGTACTCTTATTAATGACTTGATCGCCCAAAGTCACAATACCCTCACTAGGTTTATTACTACTAAAATTACACTCCATTTATTCAGTTTTAGATCTACTCAAGCAAACACCTTTAGACTCTAAGGTTGACCTCCATAATCCAAGTTTACCTTCAACTCCCACTCTAGTCTTATCAAGAATAAGAATATCATCAGCAAAAAGCATACACCAAGGTACATCCTCTTGCAAATGTCTATTGAGAATATCCATGACCAAAGAAAAAAGATATGGGCTTAAAGATGATCCTTGATGTAATCCAACCGAAATAAGAAAATACTTGGTCAAACCACCTTGTGTTTGAACATAAGTAATTATATCTTTAATGATTTGAATATAAGCATTATTAACTCCTTTCTTTTCAAGAACTCTCCATAGCACTTCTCTTGGAACTTTATCATTTGTTTTTTCTAAATTAATAAATATCGTATGTAGATCATTCTTATTCTCTCTATATTTCTCCATCAAACCTCTCAATAAATGTATGGCTTCCATAGTAGACCTACCCAACATGAATCCAAATTGATTTTGAGAAACATTAGTATCACGCCGTAACCTACGCTCCATAACTCGCTCCCATAATTTTAAAGTATGACCCATTAACTTAATTCCTCTATAATTCGTACAATCTTGTGTATCACCTTTATTCTTAAAAATAGGAATTAATACACTCATTCTCCACTCGTCTGACATCTTTTTTGTCTTCAAAACAGTATTAAAAAGTTTAGTAAGCCAAAAAATTCCTTCATGTCCTAAGCATTTCCACACCTCTATTGGAACTTTATCATATTCCATCATCTCTAAGATAATCTAAGAAAAAAACTAAACGGTTTTGGATCAAAATTAAGTTTGCGAGTCAGCCCGAACGCAACTCGTTTAAAAAATGGGTCATAATTCCAGACTTAAACTCTACCTATTTATTAAGCCGGCCAACTTGAATATGGATTTTTGGGTTGGGTTGGCGGGCTGTGTTTTTTTTACCTCCCTAAAATATATTGAAGAGCGGTGATATATAAAAGAGGAGGGATAAGGATTACTCTTTTCCCATGCATTATTTGGATGATATAACTTTTAGAGTTGAGATATTTAAAACTGAGAAGTAGCTTGAAAGTTGTGTGGTAAAAGGATATCATGGGGGCTTAAATGCAAGTTTTATAAAATTACATTTTGGCCGGTGATATTATATGGATTTGAATGTTAGAGTCTTTAAAAGTCATTGATATCCTAGTTGAGTGTGATAAAAATAATATGTTAAAATGAATTTGACAAAATTATGAAGTATAAATTAAGGAATGATTATATTAGTGTAAAGCTGGAGTGCATCTATTGAAGGAAATGTGATGGAGACTAGAGTGATTTGGATGTGTGCAACCAAGGGTATAAAATATGCCCATGCCCCATTAGATGAGTTGATAAATTTAGTATAAAAAATGAATAAAAAGTGAAGATTCATAACATTGACTCCAAATAATTGAGTAAGACCGATGATAATGATGATGATTCAGACTGCGAGCAGGGCTTCATAAGTTGCTAACATGTATTATCCTTTTTTAAGCTGAAAATTTTCTCCATTTTGCCATCTTAATTGTTAAACTATATTTTATCTTTTTTATTATAAGAAATTGTTATGGTTTAAATTGCAAACAAATTACCCTGGCTTGTTTCAGAATGAGGCTGTCTTGCGGGCTTGTGCTGAAGAACCAGCTCCCAATACTTCGTCCGGTACTACTTCCAGTCTGAAGAGCAGTGGACAGTAATGGCCTACAAAGATGCGAATCAAGAAGTATTTTGTTCTTGAATAATTGACATTTTATTATGATCGATCGGATGCCAAATTATTTTTGTAGATTTTAACTTAAAGGTTTAGTTTATGATGTCTTCATTCTGTAAGCCTATTCATTGGAAAAATTATTCAGTGCGGAAGCAGAACTCGTCCGGATACTTAAGCATGCAGCTCGGTACCGTGGTGCCGCCGCTTGGTGTCGCTGACGTGGCTCATTCTGATTGGTATCCGTCGTGTTCGGTGTCATCACAGAATAATCTCTCCTATTCATGTAATATGTGTATGAAGTTACGACAACTTGACCTGCATTTTCTTTTAAGGTTTTTCTGTTCCCAATGTTTGCTGATCATCGTTGAGATCTATTGTTGCGAGGAGTATCATCTTAAAGTGATTTTATGAAGATTTAAATGATAACTGTTATAAAATTATAAATTTGTTAGTTATATTAATGAGATTGATTGCTGTTGTTAGCAATAAATATATCATTAATGGTTTTTTTGAGTGTATGAAGAATGAAAAAGTTGTGATAAATGTGTGACAAAATTTAGTAAGTATTGTATGAGAAATATTTATATTGAAAGGATTATGGGAGGTTTGATCTATTAAAGGTAAATATAAAGGCAAATTTGGGTGATTTACATGCCCACAATTGTGATTAGAATAAAATTACTAAGATATATAAAAATTTCATAATAATTTGGTTAAAATTTTTTAAAAAGAAAATTCACATAAAGCAGATTCAACAGTTTATACAAAACTAAAAACTAATAGAGAAGAATAGAGAAGAATATTATTGTGATATATCTAATGATGATGATGTTGAGAGTTCACCATATGCTTCATTTAAGATGACTTTCTTTATGTTTTTTAAAGCAGCTTTTTAGAATAAAAATTTTAAATTTTGTATTACAAACTTGCTTTAAGACTCATAAAGAAAGTTGTCCCAAATGGAGCTTAGACTTCTCTTAGGACTCCTTTTCTTACTGCTTCTTAAAGTGATTTTTTAATACAAAATTTTAAATTTTACTATTAAAAAGTTGCTTCAAGAAGCAGGAAGAAAGCCGTCTCAAAAGAAGCTTTAGACTTCGTTTGGGACGGCTTTTTAATTGCTTCTTAAAATAGAATTTTAGTATAAAAATTAAAAATTTTATACTAAAACTCTGTTTTAAAAAACAATAAAAAAATTGTCCTAAACAAAACCTTAGACTTCATTTATGATGACTTTCATATTGTTTCTTAAAATGATATTTTAATATTTTATTAAAAATTTGCTTTAAGAAACAATAATTCAAAGCAAGTAATCTTTGCAGCTTCTAAAACATTTGTAGGACAGAGATGTCTAAAGTGCAAACTGCCATGAACAAGCTTGTCTAACTTTTGAGTCAGAACTTGGTATGGGCTGCACTAATCCTTCTCTTAACAGTAGCAATCAGATAAAAGTAACAATCAATTGCCTCAATTAATTGCGAATGGGAAAGTTATCAGTGAGAAGAAGACTTGGCAGAGCTGCAGGAACAGGACAAAACTAAACAGGAAGGGAGACTTGTGCTGCTGATCATTTCTAGAAGAAGTAGGAAAGGAGGCTTTGTAAGTGTCGTGAAGGAGCTTCCCAAGCTTTATTAATTCGATGGACTGATTCCAAAACCACACTTACAAGAAACTCCCGGTCGGCTGCTCTTTTGAATAGCAGAAGGTTATGGCTCGCACGTAAGTTCTATTTATTCCCCCTTTGTCTTCTCACTTTATTCATTTTGATTTTATTCACCTACTTTGCTTAACTTTTTGTGGCCCTACGCGAAATTATTAGGTGCGGACACTAGACCTAGAGATGCATCCGGATTACTGGATCCACTACGTACGCTCTGCATATTTGTAGATACACAACAAATAAGCAGCAAATCCTCACAACTAAATATTTGCTGCTTATTTACTGCAATATGTAGTATATACGTAGTAAATATGCAGAGGGTAGGCAGAGATTAAGCATAGGATATGTGCAGTATCCGGACGCATCTCTAGATCCGGTGTCTGCGCCTGATAATTTCCCCTATTGTACGCCTATATTTGGCTTGGTTTGACTGTGAACACATTTAACTCGCCGAGCCTTAGAACTGGCCAGTTTTTGAGTCTAACTTGCTTAGAATGGCCTTGTTGCCAAGATTGATAAGTTCTGCTCAGACCTCACAACTCAAGATATTAAACCCACCTAAAGCATTTTAGAAGTTTTGTGCTTGTATTCGCCGCCAGAACATATTTTAGCACCTTTTATGGCCATTCAATGCTGTTGAATTTGCCTCGTATTTATAAATAGGAAGTCATTGATCTAGTTTGGATATGATAGATCATCTGATCTCATTATGTACACTTATTGGTAAATCCATCAGAGTTTTTTTTAGAGCTTCTCTCTTTAGAATTTTGGTTTCCTGATCTGATACCCCATTTATTTTGTGTGTGTGTGGGGCATTTAGATCGATTAAGGTAAACTCATATACACAAGTCTTAAATTCAAGATCTCTTTATTGCTAGCCTAAGCACACAATTAATAGACTAACATGAGCTGTACCCCATTTTTTTCCAACAACAACATGAAGCTTTTATTCCATTACATGGGGTCGGTTATATGAATCTTTTTTCTCCATTATGTCATGTTAGGGAATGTATCAAAAAAAGGTGCAACATCAGGACTTTTTAGGAGGTTACCTATCATAGTACTACTCTCGTCCAAACACGCTTAACTGTAAACTTTTGATAAGATTCAATGTAGTGGTCATGATATGGTCGCACCCTTCCATTTATTTACAATAATAATAATAAAAAAAAGATTTTCCCAACTTTTACTATGACCTACAAATTTTGATGATTCCGCAGGTATTTAGATCAATTAAGACAAATTCATACAAACTTCACGTACACAAGACTTGAATTTAAGACCAATTTGTTGCTAGCCAAAGCTTCTAACCAACAGACAAAAACATGGGCGGATCCACCCTAGTCTTAGGGCAAAATTTTTTTTTTTAATATTTATAAGAGATTTTTTGGAATATTTTGAGTATTTTAGGCATTTTGCCCCCCTCAAAAATATTTTTTGTTCTAATCTTATCAATCCTAGGCATTTTTGTCCATCCCCACCAAAAAAATTTTTTTTTGTCCACCCTGAAAAAAGAAGCTGGATCCGCCCCTGAACTACAGTGAGCTGCATTACCCTATTGAATTGTTGAAGGCATGGAAGTGTTTGTTTTTAAAAAATTCCAGCTAAGCTGCAAATCGTAGTAGTACAATCTATATTAGTTAAGATTCTATAAACAGGAGCTTGTTATTTTGAAATTTGCAGTACTACCCTTGCAAATTTCAATTGTTTGACCACTGCTAATGGATACATAACAACATTTTATTACAGTAATTGTAAATTCTCTCCTGAAAATTTACTTTTTTACCTTAATGAAAAATTACTTTGAAATTGTTACTTCCTACAGGGGGTTTATGAAGATGCTCAGAAATCAAATATCAGTAGAATAATGGGTGTTTCAGTTTGAAGTGCAAAAACAAAAATGTCTTCATGTTGGGTAAAGATTTGCATCTTTTTTTACTTCAGGGGTGAATTTGTAATATTTTTCAAATTAAAAATTCTAATTTTGAAATCCTAATCCTAAGGACAAATTTAATTATATTTTTGTTTCTTTTTTTTTTTAATTAAAACAAAAAACAAAAAGCATAAACATCCAAATATATATGAAAAAATCCAATAAAAAAAGTGATTGATTTACATATATACCACTTTATTTGATGTTATTTACACATCTAACACTTAAAACTTTAACATTACATTCCTATCACTCATATAAATATATCACTAACATATTTCATTCTTTCCATACCACCCTATAAACTTTAATATTTCATTCCACGCACCCATATTTATTCTATGTTTGATAGGCATGTAATATTAAAATTTTAGGTGATAGATATGTAAATAATATGAAATAAAGTTGTATGTATGTAAATCCAAAAAAAAAAAAGAAAAAAAAGAAAAAAAAGCCAATACACTTAGGCTTCGTTTGGAATGGCTTTTTTCTTGCTTCTTGAAGCAGTTTTTAGTATAAAAATTAAATTTTTTGTACTAAAAAGTTGCTTCTAGAAGCAGTAAAAAAACCGTCTCAAACGATGCCTTAGTTTTCTGAAATTTAAAAATTGGTCCACCCACCTCATTTATGATTTTTTATGGCTCTTCCCTCTCTTTGTACTCAATCTAATTAAATTACCAATTAATTTGCCATGTGCCTCCACCTTCCAAGTATTTGGATCCTAGCAATTAATCTCTGTTTGCCCCCACACAGTAATGAATTGCTGTACTAAAAAGCTGCTTCTAGAAGCAGTAAAAAAGCCGTCCCAAACGATGCCTTAGTTTTCTGAATTTTAAAAATTGGTCCACCCACCTCATTTATGATTTTTTATGGCTCTTCCCTCTCTTTGTACTCAATCTAATTAAATTACCAATTAATTTGCCATGTGCCTCCACCTTCCAAGTATTTGGATCCTAGCAATTAATCTCTGTTTGCCCCCACACAGTAATGAATTGCTTGCATTATTTAGAAATAAAGAAAAACCCATTTATGTCCTTTATACTATGTATGGTGGAACTACATATAAGTCCTATTCTCTATGTTAATTAATAATATTTTTATTTTATTATTAATTTTTTTTTATATACTTCATTTTCTCCTACTCTTGAAGTGGAATGTATATATTTATAGCCTATAATGTTTAATTAGTTGTTAGCCTACTTTGCCTTTAATGAACTTTGATTTGCTTATTATGACATAATTTTTCAATAATTTTTTTGAGATGACCTCAACAAATTTAGTACAAGCTAAGAGATTTCTAATTAGTGAGGAGTCATTTGATTGAGCTTATACATCTTTTTTTATATAATTTAACAAAATTCTATCTGTGAAAAAATATCATTTTGATGTAAATCATTATTGTATCTTCAAAATATGTTTTCTTCTAATATGTTGGTGATGGTAGGCGCCGGGCGAAATAGCGGCGATGGCTATAGGTGGTTGCCGATGTGTAACTGGAGGTGTTTGCCATTGACTTACAGTGGTAGCCGACAAGTACAGTGGCTGCGGTGATAATTGTTTTTCAAAAAATATTTTTAAAATAAAAATTTATAACTATAGAAAATACCTCAAATAAACATATTCATAAAAGAAATCTCAAATAAGCCAAAGTGTTGTGAGAGCTTTTCAAATAATCACTATCATCAACCGCCACGCCGCCACTTCCACCAATGACCACGATAGTCATCATCATCTGCCACCGCCGCCACTACGACTAATAACAACGATA